TTTGAGATGATTTTTCAATCTTTTATACTGGATAATCTAGTATTCTTATGCATGAAGATAATTAATTCGATAGTTGATATATATATATATATATATATATATAATAAATACATACACTAAGTTAATTTCTAAAATGTGTAATGCACTGTTTTAATTTATTTATCTGCATATTCTGACAAAAAAATTTCATAAGGCAATGAAATAATATTTAAAATGGGAGATGCAAAAATAAGAAATTAGTAACTCATAAAAAAAGAAAAGACACAAAGAGAAAGAGGTAACAATTAGAAAATAGGAGAGAACTAATCGGTGGAAAACGAACTGACTATTACGGTTATAACTAATCAAGAAAATTAAAAATTAATTAACTTTAAAAAATTACACCAATTAATTTTTAAAATATTGATAATTTAAAATATAATCAAAACCACAACGGTGAAATAATTAAACTTTATTAAATTGACCAAAATTAACCGGACGGTAATAAATCAATGATGGTTTTAAGAAAAAAAAAAATTAGCCTTTTAAAATATCACATAATATACAACAAAACTAAATTAAATAAATCATGGATATTCTCAGTTCTTGTTCACATCCACCCACAAAATGGAATATTCAAGGTAAAATTTAAATTTTCAGTAGTTTTTTACAAGCCAAACTCTACAGGGTAAAGACTCTAAAATGTTTAAGTTATAAATATAATTAGAGTGTGTGTATGTTGAACCTATTAGGCTTACTTATAAGACACTTTTTTTCGAGTTAGGATGGTTTTTCTTACGTGATGATGTTTGAAAGACATCCCTAAATCAAATCCCTTAATAGGTGAGCTTTTGTGCACTACAGGAAGATTCTTGTCTTCTCAAACCCATGAAGAGAAGCATTGGGCTATGCCCAGATTCCAATAATAATTATTTAAAAGTAGTTGAGCTTTAATCTCAAATTCCTAACTACAAATGCATATTCCTAAGGTAAACAGATAAATATTTTTTAGCATATAATATAAGAATGAATATATACCTATACTTTAATATTAAACAATATAACACTTTAATTCACCAAAGGTAGCAGTAGTTTTATATACGGTAGTCTAATAATTAATTATGTAATGGTCAAATTAGTTGAATAGTTTTAAGATTGTCTGAAGTCTGAACACAAAAGAGCTTTCATAACACGCGTTTACCTTCGTATCACCTTTATTTTTCTTTTTTATATTTGGTTTGAAATTAATATTATAAACGAGTTCACATATATTTTATTTTAGTAATAAATATGTTTTAGTTTCTGAAAATAAAGTAATCTTCATTTTTCAGTCTTTCAAAAACAAATTGTCTCATTTTAGAACCTAATTTATGAAAATGTTATGTGATCCCTTTCCCTAAGCAAGATACTAAAGGAGATGATTTTTTATTATTAAAATGAGATTTTTTTTAGACACTAAACGAATATTTCTATATTTATATGAACTAAAATCAAATTCATTCATTTATTTTAATTACTAGCAGTTTTTAGTTGAATATGCTTGCAAGTAAATTCATTAATTTCCATTTTCCTTTCTCATATTAACTTCTTAATTTAAATCCTTACATGGTTAATTTCTCTACAGTCTTTATATTAAGGGGTGATAAGCAAAAACCTTTTTCAAATTTGGGAACCGTGGCATGAATCTTGCAACCATTAAAATATGTTTAATTAGTTATAAATATTCTTAGAATTATAATGAATTATCAAATATTTTTGACATTTAATGTTAATTTGTACATTAAGAAGATGTATTGGATTAGAATTTTAAAAGATTTTTAAAAAAATTATTATTAAAAGTTTTATGATATTTAATTAAGATTTTTTTAATATAAAAAAGTCATATGACATTTAATTAAGGCAATTAGGATTTTTTAAGAGTACATCAAAATTTAGTAGTATTTAATTAAGACAATTAAAATTCCTTTAAGATTATGTTAAAATCCGGTGGTATTTAATTAAAACTTTTTTTCACTTAAAAAAAGTTTGTTAGTATTTAAAAATGATGAATTCTAGGGTGGTCAACTTTAATAGGTGGTCCACCATACTCAACAATTAGCATTTGTTAAATGGAAATCAGATTCATATTAATAGTATACTATTTGTACCAAATTACTACTTCCTATTTACTTCATTTGTAACTTTACTCTTGTGCCTTTCCCACAATCTGCAATTGCATGCTTCGTTCCCATGGTGTTTAGAAAGCTTGGTGTTTTAGTACTCCCTCACCTCCATTGCAAGTGACTTTGCATGAATTTTTTTTTCTCATTTTTTTTTTTGCTTCCTCCACCCTTTTTCTTCTCTCTTCCCCCCCACCCCCTCTCCCCCCTGCCCCTCTCTCTTTCTTCCCTATCTCATACTCTTCTCTCTCTCTCCCTCTCTATGTCTCTCTTTTCTTTTTTTCATATCTTCTTTATCTCATATTCTCTTTCTTTTTTTTATTCATCTCTTTCGTTTATTTCTTCTTCTCATTCTCTCTATTTTTTTCTCCTATTTATTGTTATGGTTAAAATATTTTTTGTCCTATAGTTTCACTTTATTTTTTAGTTCCTATAGTTTAAAATAAATATTTTCAGTCTTTATTAGTGTATAAAATCAAAACAAAAAGGGAATATCTGTTTGTTAGCCTATTTACTTTTTGCATTCTATTACAACTTTAGAATATTCCTAGGTGTAGAAGGACACTTGTCCTTTATTTTCTCTCTCTGCTATTGCTTTTACAGCTACCACATTTACAACTATATTACTCTTTTATTTTCTCTCTTTGTTGTTACTTTTACAGTTGTATTTCTGAAGAAGGGTTTCCTATATATATTGGAACACGTGTATTCATTGTGGGTGTAATGAAATGAAGTTTCTTTTTACATCTTTATCTTTATCTACTTTTATCTAATATGGTATCAAGAGCCTTTGATCCTCCAGAACCCTAATTTTCTTCTTCATCTCCTCTACGACATCAAATAATCCTTCTTCTTTTTCACAATTTTTCTCTAACTCCATAGCAGAAAAACTTGATGATTCAAACTATCTTCACTGGAGGCAGCAGATTGAACCGGTCCTCAAGTCCCACAAACTTCAACGATTTGTGGTAAATCCTCAAATTCCACCTAGGTATTTGACAGATGCTGATCGTGATTCAGATATAGTTAATCCAGCATATGAAACATGGGAAGTCCAGGACCAAATGCTTCTCACATGGCTACAATCGATGCTCTCAAAGACCATCCTTTCACGTATCATTGGCTCAGCTCATTTTTATTAGGTGTGGGACAAAGTTCATGAGTATTTTAACACTCAAACTAAAGCACGAGCACGTCAGCTCTGCACTGATTTGCGTTCTACCACTCTTGATGGTAAATCCATGCGTGAATTTTTGACTCAAATCAAAAACATTACTGATGAACTTGCTGGAGTTGGAAGTCTTATGTCACTTGAAGAATATGTTGATGTTGTTCTTGAAGGTTTGCCACAAGAGTATGCACCTGTGGTTTCTATTATTGAAAGTAAGTTCATCACCCCTCCTATTGCTGAAATGGAACCTCTTCTCCTTGCCCATGAGTCAAAAGCTAATAGGTTTCGTAAGCAATCTTTCTCTCCTTCCATTAATTACACTCAAGGTTATTCTCGAGGGGGTGTTAGTAGTGGATCTTTTAGAGATCGAGGTGGTGGTAACAATAGGCATCGCGGTGGTAAATGTTTTGGAAGAGGCCTTGGTAGTCGATTTGCAAATTTTTAGTGTCAGATTTACTTCAAGTTTGGACACATTGCCAATATTTGCTTCTATAGAGATGATGTCAAT